CAGTATCTGCAATTTTACTTAAATAACAAAACTGACTGAGTACTTCCTCCACCACTGTGCAATTCTAGAAAATTGTTTGATTTTGTACAGATTTTGACCATGATATGTATATACATTTATAAGAAGAGGGTCTCTTTCTGGGCCCCTAAGACCCTGATGCCTGGGACAACAGACCCCTTTGTCCCCCCATCAACTCCCCTGTATGACTGACCGGGACTTGGTCAAAGGTGAGCTGGGACACGTTGTTGTTTGGACAGCTCTGCCAGGAGTTGTTGAGCCTGAAGCCGAGGGCGCTGGTGTGGCGTCCATCTAAAGCCACGAACTTACGGAAGGTGCAGTTATGGACGCGGATGGGCCCGTCGTACACCTGCATACCTCGCAATGGAAAGTCTCTGAGGGAAGAGACACATGTAAGATTATTATGTTATCCAAACTCACGTTCACTCACTATTCAACGGCACACTATCCTTTAGGTTCGCAGAAGTATAAAAAATCTGATACAAGTTGAAACTAAAATTAGTATCTAAACTAGACACTCTTCTGAGCAGATATCGATACTAAAAAAGTCACATTTACAAGGCAGAGATGAATCTTTCCTGAATAGCTTTAGAATGATTTTGTGCTGTATCAGAACAAGTATAAGAAGAGCACACAGATTAGTATATACACCCATGGACCACTATGGAACCTACCTGTACCACTGAAGGATTGCACAGATATAAGAGAGCATTGTAACATAAAAGAAAGTACTATGATTTAATGTTAAAAATCACATTCTATTGTCTAAATTAAAAGGGTTTTCTACTTTCATCGTGGTATCGGAAGCAGTATTGATTTATCAAGTCTATTCCTTAGTATCGAAACTGAGTTTGAAATTTTAGTATTGTAGTGACAACACTACTACCCTTCATTTCTAAACCTTCATTACTGGCAGGTAAGTCATCAAAGGTATAATATTCCCTACAAAGCAAGCATGGTCAGACTTGAATGGACCATGCTACCACAAAGTACTGAGAGTTATTTCAGTCTCATGTCTCTCTTTACAGCTCTCAGGCTACTTCAATTATTCTGCAAAAGTTACGTCTACAATGGCATAGCACATTTAACAATCTTTAAAATGTGAATGTACATTTTCAGTAGCATTTTTTTACCTAGCCTGGCCAGCCAAGATTTTACGCTGTTCATATTTTATTTGTTGATGCTGCACTGACTGCATAGCACATTTGATGCAGGCTACACAGTGATATTAAAGCTGACGTATTCCAGTGGCTTGCAAACTTTTCACGCCAAGTACCACATAAGAAAAGATTTGTTTTTCCAATTTAGGTCCATAAAAGACTATTCCAAGTCCAAATGAAAGCTAAGACAATAGGACGTTACCATTGCTACAGTCATTCTAACTAGGGACTTACCCAAAGGAGGACAAAACTGTGTATAAAAAGAGACCCTAAATTAATAAAGCTCTAGAACTGCAGACAACCAGAAATGTTCAGAAACACTATTCTGTTTTATTCTGACCAAACAAACAGATTTCAGTTTTTAACTAAACTTTTAAGTGTAAATGTGGGCTATGTGTTAGGAAGACTTACACGGCGTGAGGCAGAGAGCGGCCCTTGAGGTCCATACCCCCGGGGCCCCACACAGTGCCAGGCTGGAAGCTCCCTCTGTTGTCACTCTCTCCCACAAACAAAGAGTTCACCACCTGCTGGTGGGAGCCGTCATCATCTGGAAACGTACCTCCACTAACACACCAGCAGAGCCATGGTTACATACATCATAACACATTAAACATTAAAGATAAGATCAAGTTCACAGTGCACTGTTTTTGTTCATGAGCATATAAAAAACTGCTAGGGTTAATGCAGGGATCACATTATGCAGTGCAGACCATGTTTGTAGAGCTCTAAAGTACAGGGTCAGCAGATTTATTCAAACCCATGAAGACAGCATTTGCTGAAGAAAAGATTACACAGCCTAAATAATTGCAGCATTTGCATATGTCTGACTGTGACCATTCAAATGAAGTTTAATCTTGCAGCCACAGTAATAATACATCATAATAGAACTTGACGTTAAAATTCTGGTGGGGGTTCCGCCACATGCAATATCTCCATGGATATGTTCTTGCTTTGCCTGGTATGTTCAACAGTATAGGCAATACATTTGCAGGTGTTTTTATTGCTAAAAACATTTGTGAAAAACTTGCAGAGACAAGTAAGTGGCAAACCCTCCACCACAAGCTACACAGTGCACATTTTGGGTATGTAACATCATAATAATAAGGTATGTCATATTGACCACAGAATGTGTAAGAATGTGTGACACTCTTACCTGGCCAGAGTCAGGCTAATGGCGTTATCTGCAAATCTACAAAAATACAAATATTAGGTTCAGTGAAACATTCCTCTTGACACCACAGAATGTAGTTTTATCTGTCAGACTTGAGGACTGATACTGACTGGCAGTCGTCCAACCACCACACGTCTCCTCCTCTCAGCCACGCTCCCTGGTCCATGTTCTTGTAGGCGATGAAGCGGTGGATCCGAGCTGGGACCCGAGGTTTCAAGGGGTCTGCATCTTGGTGAGGGCCATACCTGGGCACAAAAACAGAAAAAAACACATGGGAAGGAAGATCTGCATGATTTTTTTTATTTTTTTTAAATATTACAAATTACAAATACTACAATTGCCTACATAATCTCAGAGTCAAAAATACTCAAATTGCAATCTGATTTTTTATTTTTTAGAAACATTCATATGCAGTTAAAATTCCTTATTTTACTGGATCATTCTAAGGTTGGAACTCGTATTGTTCAAGAAGAAAATGTTTGCCTGGGCTGGATCGCATCATTACTGCTATATATTCTAGGCAAAGCAAAGCCATCTTCATTTAGACATTGAAGCAGGTTGTGAACCTTCCACCAGAAGTTACACAGTGTAGCTGTACCTGGATCCCACCAGAGACAGGTAGGGCCGCTTGTCCTTGTTGTTGGCTTCAGTGGTTTTGACTCCATTGTCCAGGATCATCCCAGCCTGCAGCACACATACACTGTCACTAGAGGTGCTTTAACAAGATGCAGAACCACACATGGAAGTATATAGAAATAAACAAACTGGTCAAAATTTCTACAAACAAATATTTGGTTCTCAAACTTGTAATGCTGCACATTTTGGCTTGTCTTTCAAAAATCTTGAGTCTAAAGGGACAAAACTGCTAATACTCACAATTCTTCATGTATTAAATCCTACTTTATCACTAATTTAGACATAGTTTAACCCTTCTATACTGTACATCTGGTTTAAACAGAATTGGAAAGTCAAATATTGCCTTAGGTAATCCTAAAAAGCACTGGTATGAACTGACCCTGTAGTTGGAGTGTGCCCGGTTGTGTTGATGAACAGTCCCATGGGGGTGAGCTCTGTCCGCCCGGGTTTGTACATGCCTTCAGAAGGGCCCGTGGGCTCATGGTGGAAGATGAACCAGTATCCAGTCTCCTGTGGAACCAAACACAAGCATGCACTATTAACATATTTGTCCAAATAAAGCAGTATTCCACTATGCAATCTATGTGAGTTTAAGCACTTGTTTTTGTCTGCAGTCCTATCACCAATCAGAAACGTATGTGTGTCTCAATATTGGAGTCAAAGTCGTTAAAGGTCCTATATTATGAGAAACTGGCTGTTATGAGCTTTTAGTCATGTTATAATGTTGTTACCCCAACAAAAACACACCTGGAGTTATGTTATTTTTTTGTTGCATTCAAACATGTTTGAGTAATCCTGCATTATTAGTCTGTCTACATCTCCAAAGCTCAAAATGCTCTTCACCAGCTTGTGACATCATTAAGTGATAGTTTTCAAGGTAACAGCTACCTTTTAGCTTTAGTTCAGTAGATTATAGAAATTCCAGAGCTAAGATAATCTTAATGACTCTACTGAAGGTGTATTGAGTTTAAAAACAGAGTGGAGCATTTTCTTGTATTACCACAGGACATCACAGAGCAGGGGTGGGCAAACTATGGCCCGGGGCCATATGAGGCCCTTTAATCTTTTTAATCCAGCCTGCCAAACTTGAATAATAATAATGATTTTCAGTGTTTTTAAAAGTTATTTCAGTAAATAGTAAATACCGTGGGATTTGAAAGACAGATATTTTGTTGTGATGCCTTGTAATGATTTTCAATTATGGGATATTTCAATAATGTAATCATGTAATTTTTTTCTCTTTTATGAGGTGGATTACCAAAAAACTCCATCCATCTGCTTCTGGTCCAGCATTTCCATCAAATTTTAGAACCCTTTGTGGCCCATGAGTCAAAACGTTTGCCCACCCCGTCATAGAGTGTTTTCCCATTTGAGAGAAGAACTCAGGTTTGTGGGTTAAACATGTGTGAATGAAACAAAATAACCATGTGTATGTTTTTGATGAGCAGACAAAATTATAAATATACTGTAGATCAGAAAATAGCGTAATACTTTAAAGGTTTCTCAAAGGTGCACAGTAGAACTTCTCAGGTGATGTTTGTTATTTCTTTGCCTGGAATATTCCTTTAAATTATCTTTCTGAATAAATGTATTTCATGTCATTATCAGTTAAAACAGAATCAATGTGACACAAATTTCACCCCATAAAAGTGAATCTCAAAGTCTATAACAATTCAAGACTATTTCTACAGGGACCAATTTGAGGCCTGCGTGCTTACACGGATCATCTGGAGCTCATTAATACTGTACATAGATATTTTTCTCTGTACGGTGTTAAGGCAAGATGCGCTAGTTAACACCAGACAAAGGAAAGGAGGATGCAAGACTGTATAAGGGGAGACCCTTGACGTGATCAGGACGGCCCACTGCCTTTCAGAGAGAGAAAAAACTATGGTATTCGTAAGTAAGCGTTCATGTTCTAGGGATACACAAAACACTATAAGAAGAGAGAGTATCATAATGTAAAATTGATGCCAACTACCCTAAGAGGGAGAGATGAATTCACATTTGACCACACATCACTAAGAAGAAGAAAGTCAATATAAGACACCAAGAAGAACCATAGAAACACCAGAAACGTAACCATTGACACACACAACAGAAGACAAACACATAGAGACATCATTTGTTAAATAATACCAGAGAGAAGAACGCATGAAACACCAGAAGAACCATGAAAACAAACCAGAAAGGAGACTCTCGAGTACTGATAGTATCACCCTAGATGTAGAGAGTTAAGAGCCATAGAACACATGAACCTGTAAGAGAGTATATGCCGAGTGAAAGACCACCCAGAGGCGTACTAGTAAGGGAATAGGCACCATAGAGAAAAACCATAGAATAGAGACACATCCAGAGTAGCGTGGAGAATCTTGGAGATCCTCTAACAATGAACACTACAAAGAGAAAGCAAGCGGCGAGAGCCCAGGAAGAACCCAATAATGCACAACACAAACTGCAGATTAGAAGAGACAACATGATCCTAAATTGAAAAAAAATCACACAGCCAGAACGGGAATAACCAACTCTAATGAAACAGAAAGGCCAGAGGGATACTAAAAAATGTTCCGTATGTAGAATATTTCAGAGGTCACTTTGAGTGATCCAGAAGATACGACTGAGATCTCACCCACATGAGTGAAGGAAACAGTCATTGAAAACACAACATGGACAATAGTCCCCAAAAGAGTACAATTTTAGCACATATCAACTATTGTGTCCTTGTAACAAGCGCGAGAGGACGAGAGAGCACTTGTAGAATTAAGACCGAGGGACATAATCACACCTGTGTCTGAGTAATGTAGATTAGCTAGAATCCATGTGCAGAGAGCCGTAGCCTAGGAGGGGATTAGAGGAACGCGAATCAGGCAGCCGTGACAAAGCCCAGCATGAGCAGAGAAGAACTCAATACACAAGAAACCAGTATTTGATTAGTGAGACGCCATAAGGACGATCCACCAAGTAGAGGTGGAGGTGGGCTGAGTGGACACCAGAGAAGGAATGAAGTAACCAAGAGACAACTCACACTGATCAGGCAACTCAATGGACGCAATACAGAGGTCACACACTATCAAGGAGAAAAGGTCAGAATATGGTGTTATGGATAAAGTCTATTCCAATAAATTACTGAGTAATTTCCCTCAAACGCGATCAATAATAGTAATCTATCAATCTCTCTCAGCTTAGATAGGCCATACCCTAGTACTGAGTAATAAGTGTCTCATAATAGATTACTCAGAAGAGTACATACTAGTTACAATTTCAAGCAAGGGATCTGAATGTACATAGTTTAGAGAAGACCCTCCAGTAGACGAAAGATGTTATGATATACTACTGAAAGAGTTGGCCACCTTTGTAAACTGCGTTAAAATAAGAAATGGAGATAGTCTTATTTTCAAACAACTAATAAAAACATCACAGATCACCAAGTTGGAATAGAACTGGCGTACTTCTCGCTAGGATCCTGATGTCAGAAGCATGGTCGTCACTTCATTAGAACAGTCGTGCCCTCAACAGCATTTAGAAATTCTGCTTATCGCTTAAGTGCAAAGTACAGCCTAATGTCATTTAGAAAAGATCAATATGCTTGTGCACTATTAACACCAAGCTTTTCCCAAAATCCCGTAAAGAAAAGAAGGGCAATAACGGTCTTTCCACAGATAAAATATCAACCAAACATTCTTTGTGTACCCGCTTTAAATCCTCGATTCATAACGGAGCAAATTCGTTCACCAGAGACAGAAAACAGACAGATGTATGGAGCTCTTCGCTGACCCATGGTTGGTGGACAACGAAACCGCCAAGCACACAATTGCCAAGGGTTGCTTGACAATGCCGTATACTTCATGATTCTGACCTAGTCGCGAAACACCAGTATGAGAAAGAGCAAATGAAACATAGAGCAGGAAAACACACTCCGCGTAGGATATTTCCTCTATCATCAAACAGCAGCAAGCACAGAGTGAGTATATCATAGAGTACTATCAGTTATGACTTGCTAGAAGATACGGTAGCATATACGATCATGCACTACAAGAGAAACCTAAAGTTGAATTATGCTAGGCCAGAGTTACCGTACATGCTCACACCCAATAGCATGGCTTTATGAATGCCTTGCGGACACACTACACATCTAACCAGATCTACTGCCTACATGAATATCGCCGTCTAGCTGTTGTAGTGTTACCCGTATAGTGCGAGTATATGAAAAGGTGATTAATCGTAAAAAAAAAAAAAAATATAAGTAAAAGCGAGCTTGTGAATTGTATAACTTCATACATTGTGTTAAAAGCGTGTGAATCCACAGAACCTATAGTGTAGTTTTTCCCCTGACTGCCCCTCGGAAGAAAGCAGAGAAAGACTGCAATCTCAGAATTTACATCGAGGCGAAATGCACTTGAGACTCACTAACGGCTCCCCCTATGGTGCATGCCGATCGCCGTCATCCTGCGCGCACTCCGGCAGGTTCCCAGAGTCCCGGTTTTACTCAGAGGTCATCTGGACACTCGCTTCCTGTCTCTGACACACCACAACGAGCACGAGCCACCACAGTATAACTGACAGCGCACACACGACGAAAACGCTCGCGACTTGCCAGAGGACAGCGCTGCAGAAGTCATTTGGATGAAAATCGAAAGGAGATAATTTTATATGAGAGGCCATGAAGAAAGATCAACATCAAAAGACGTGGGGAAATTAGCTCACCGAAGCGACCCTAATGACGGGAATAAATTATGGAGGAAGTCGAGAGATATAGCTGTGCTATGTATCAAAATCAGGTCGCGTATAAATCATTAGGACTGATCAGGATGCAGAGTTATTTAGATCCATAGATTTCAATTATATGACAATATATTCCACAAAATACAAAGTGAATACAGGCTGGCCCGCAGTTGCCATTACAGGGTCTATTTGTCAATGTTTAAGCTATATTAATTTCCCTATAGGCATCATATACAATGTCTCTGGAGTAGGGATGCATTAATATCAAATTTGAGTGCTACCTTGACTAGTGTAGATGCTATTTAACAGCATATGTTCAACCAGATCAAGTTGTGTGACATAACTTTTTAAATTTGCCATTGTCTAAACACTGGTGACGCGGGAACACTCAGTTAAGTCTACAGAAATTAATGTAAATGTCATGAGCTATCAAATATTGCACGATAAATTCGTATTCTAAAGTATATTTACAGAAATTAACTTATGCATTACACCATGGTCCCAGATGCTCAACACTGCTTTTGGAGGCTATAGTCCAGGATATAACTATGGTGAGCGTAACCCCAAGTAGAAGGGGAGATGGCCATTTGAATATGGTCAGAGCCGAAGAAATACCATTTCATATGTACTAATAAAGACATTATATATATATTTGTCAAAGTGTGAAAATAATCAATAGATAAGTTCGAGTACTTAAACTCAATTAAGTTTGTGATCAGAATGACCACGATATAGAACGATGTTACCT